GCTTAACCAACTGAGCCACCCAGGCGCCCCGAGGCATAGAGGAAGTTTTATTGTCCATAGTGCTCAGTGGTATTGGGCCCTTGTGCAAAGTAGAGACTCGATAAATATTTTTTAAATATTCCATGTCTGGTCAGATGGCACTTTTATGTTTTGAGACCATTCAGTACTGAGGAATAGGAAGAAAATCTTTTAAAATTGAAATTCTAAGAATTTCAGTTGTTCACATCATTGTCTTTTGAAGATAATCAGTACAAGGAGTTTTCTGAAAAATAAAAAAGTAAGCTTTCCATTGAAAGACATTTAGTTGGCTAAGATTTGTACTATAAAAGCCTTTGTGTACCTCTGTAATCTTGAAACCTCATATTGTATACTGCCTGGACAAAATCAGAAGGCTTCTAGACAACCCTGATTCTGGCTCTGTTTTCTCTAGCTCCAGAGAATAAGAAAAGGAGAATCTGATACTGCTGGCAGTCTATGCTCTCTTGCTTTTCTGGGCCAAGACATGCGTTTAAAAATAAAATCCAGGAAATTGTAAACCAGTAGTAAAAACGAATAAAGCACCCAGGGGTTTGCTTCCTCTCATGTCCTGTGGCCTGAGTCTCTCTTTTTTCAAGCCGTTAGGCTGGTATTAAACTAAGGTGGCAAAACTGTGCTCTGGCTTTGTCCTTCTTTGCGTCCCCTTTTAAATTTATAGGAAAGAATTATGGAAAGACACCGTGTTTATTATGTATTTGTTTTTATCATATACTATTTCTGTTTAATACCCTCTGGGATACATTTACAAGTGCAATTAAAAAAAAAAAAGCCTGCAAACTTCTTTATTGAAATCAAGTGCTATTTTTATTTATTAATGTTCATTTGTCTGGTGTAACTTTGCTCTGGCCTAAGAAAGACCTAGAGAAAGACCTCATTCTGTTCCAGGAAGCGTACAACTTAGAAAAATGTTTTCTTTTGAATTCTGACTGCTCCAACTTCTGTGAACAAACCAGATCCACAGATCAGGTTTGTAAACGATCTGTTTTCTTAAGGTATCTTCTAACAGGATGGGTCTCAGGGGAAGCTGAGTGGCAGCACACATTTAGCTGGGAGTAGCAGTTCATCTCCCTGACGTACATCCCCTTTGTCCACACAAAGCAATTTTGGAGGCAGGCTTAGAATTTAAATGTACACTTCTCTGTTGTGGTCCAGTTTGTCTTATTTAATCCATTTTATTTTTTATGTTTCGTAGGTCTGATATATTTCTAATATAATCATGTAGAAACCTGCTTTGGAGAACTCTGAAGTCTTGATAGGAAAAATTCTGAATTTATTGTATGCAAAATGGTGATCTGGAAAGAAATAGCATACATAGGTCACTGAAACTATTGAGTTTGTATTTATTTGTTTTTATGAATGGGGGAAGGTTAAGACTTGAATATATTTTATTCTTTTGTAAGAGAGTCACTGAAACAGTTTCTGATATTTCTTCAGCATTGTATACTACATGGTAATATTTCTTGAAGATAGCTTGCTGAAGAAAAAATTGAATCAGGCTTTCTGAATTGCCAGATCCAGAACATCAAAAAATGCTTTGGACCAAAAAAAAAAAAAAAGAGAGAGAGAGGCCTGCTGGATCCACCCCCAGGAATCCTAATGGGTCCCCATGGTAACAGCCTCCTTGCTTACAACTTGTCACTGTGTAACTGTCACTGGAGTTCAGAGAAAAGCCAGTATATCAAGAACTGTGTGGCATTAACTACTCCTTGATAAAATGCTGTTGCACATTTGAAACGAGACAGAAATAGAAAGTTAAAGGTTTTAATTTCTGTGTTCCATTAATTAGATGCTTTAAAAAGCTGCCTAATTATGGTAAGGTGCAGCAGTGGGAAGGTGGTGGGTGGCCGAGGCAGGGCGTAAGAGGAAGCCAGAGTCTCAGAAGGTTAGAATCTTCAGGGTTTTTTCTTCTCTAATCCTTTCATTTTGCAAATGAGGGAAGTGAAATGCCTTACTTAGGTTCACAGGGAAGCAGAAACAGGATTCCAGCCCAGGCCTTCTAATTTCCAGCATAATGTTTTGCTGTCTCTACTCACACCTTGCATTTACCATGCCTCTTTGTTTCATAAATGAAGTCTCAATTTCTGAGGTTAGAAAAGGACCTTAGAGGTTATGCAGAAAAACTTTCTGCCCTGCAAAGGAGTCCTGTTTGCACCATCATGGGCAGGCAGCCTCTGCTTCTTCCCTCAGGTGGGGGTTATCTGTTTAGTTAGCAAGAACCTCCTTGCCTGAGTTCAAAGAGAAGATAGTTTTACATGGGAAATTTTAAAGCTATATGCCTTATTTTTCTTCTCTAATAAAATAGCAATTGAAAATCAGACCTGAATGTTTTTTATTAGCCTGTTTATCTCCATTTAAGTCATGCTTGTCAGTCATGACAAGACAGATAGTTCTTTAAAAGAATTATGTCCTGTCTAAACCCTAGAACTTTGAAAAGGTAATGCCATATTTGGAACAAGCTAGTCTTCTAATGGGTGGGAGGGAAGAGATTGATAAATATTATATTCAGCTTAAAGTATTTTATAATGTGCTTAATAAGATGAAATTGATTGTAAGCTAGAGTATCAAAAGAGGCCTCAATATACTTGAAAAGCAAAATCAAAGCCAAATAGGCAAGTGGTTTTGTATTCTTGTGGTGCATTTATGAATGCTTTTGTATAGAGTAGGTTCATTTACATAAAAGTGAGTTTTGGGTTCAAAACCAGCATTATTTAGGCAATTATTAATCACCTATGCCAAAACACTTTTTGGTCTACTTTTTGGATGTCCTTTTGCTCAGTGTGCCAGTCATCAAATGCCCTTGTCAGAGAGGGCTTCAGCTTTTTTTTTTTTTTTTTTTTAATTGTATGACAGAGAGAGACAGAACAGGAACACAAGCAGGGGGAGCGGGAGAGGGAGAAGCAGGCTTCCCGCTGAGCAG